TCGCCGAACGGCTGGACCTCATTCGGAGGTCACACATCGTCACGCGTGCTGTCTCTCGTCCGCACGTCGCTTGGGCACGTTCGCGGCGAAGGTATTCGCGTAATCGTAGCTCGTTGAACGAGGGCGAGGCCCCACACCCTCGCCCCGTTAACGCGCACCGTCGAGTCACCTACACTCACGGTGCCTCTGGACACCGCCGTCTCGGCGTATCACCATTCGGGTGTCGCCGAACGGTAGGACCGCATTACCGCCGTCTTGTCGTATCACCACGTCCCTCCCGCTATCACGGAGGGCTCGTCGGGTGTCGCCAAACGGCCCAACCTCACTCGGAGGTCATAACCGTCGAGTCACACACACTCACGGCGTCATTGTATCCCGCCGTCTTGGCGTACTGCCACGTCCCTCCCGCAACCACGGAGGGCTCGTCGGGGTTCGCCAAACGGCCGGACCTCATTTGGAGGTCCTGCACAAGCTTGCTCGCTTTGAGCCTCAAGTGGAACCTTCCCACAGTTCGGAAACCCCTCCGACCGAGGAGGAGAAAATCGTATCGCTCGTGGCGCTCGATCCGCCTGACGCGGTGCATTCACTGCTAGAAAAATTCTTTTCAATCGAGAAAATTGGTCGAATTATAGCATACATTCTTAGGTTTGGAAATCACTTCCGTGTAAAATCTGCCCCTACGACTTGGGCCATAGATCAGCTCGAACTGCATTCCGCGTTACTACTAGTTGTAAGGTGTACAGGCGGATGCTTTCCGCGATGAGATCGATCGTCTTCAAAGCGGGAGAAGGCTCCCCAAGCCACTTCTCAAGCTCGCTCCCTTCCTTGATCCGGTGGGTATTCTCAGGGTGGGCGGCCTGCTTGCAAAATCCGGATTGACATTCGAGAACAAGCACCCTGCCTTACTGCCCTGCAAACATAGGCTCACGGATCTCGTTATCGAACACGTGCACCGCACGAACATGCACCCTGGTCGGCGCACGCTGCAATATCTGCTCACGCAACATTATTGGGTCCTCGGGGTGCATCGCGCTATACAGCGCGTACTCTCGAGATGTCACCAATGTTTCCGCGTAAAGCCACACACCTCTCAGCCCCTCATGGCGGAGCTACCGGCCGATAGGGTCCGACAGGCCAAGCCATTTTCGATCAGCGGCGTGGATTTCGCGGGACCGTTCAACATAGTCACGCGACGAGCCCGGGGGGTCTCCTCCGTCAAAGTGTACGCGTGCCTTTTCGTATGCTTTTCGGTTAAGGCGGTGCACCTGGAAGCCGCCTTCTCGTTGTCCACCGACTCCTTCCTCGCTGCGCTGCGACGCTTTGTGGCCCGACGCGGACGCTGCTCGCTTCTCTACAGCGACTGCGGAACGAATTTTGTAGGGGCCGCACGGGAACTAGAAAGCCGCATGGGCCTCGCAGCGGAGCGAGAGAAGATCAAGTGGTCCTTTAATCCTCCCTCCGCGCCCCACTTCGGGGGCCTCTGGGAGGCGGGAGTCAAGACCTTTAAAACCCACCTGCGGCGGACCGTGGGTGATCAAGTCCTCTCAATAGAGGAATTCACGACGGTCCTCGCGCAGGTCGAGGCCGTCCTGAATTCCAGACCCCTCTGCCCGATGAGCGCCGACCCTGCCGACCTCGAAGTCCTATCGCCGGGTCACTTCCTCACGATGGAACCGCTCGTCTCCGTTCCCACTCAAGACGTGACCCCGTTACCGATGAATCGGCTGAGTCGGTGGCAACTCGTCCAACGAATTCACCAAGACTTTTGGAGGCGCTGGCATCAGGAGTATCTCCATACCCTGCAACAGCGTCCCAAATGGTGGACCTCAGTCAACCCGCTCGGTGTCGGTGCGTTAGTCCTCCTCAAGGACGCCAACATGCCTCCTCTGCGTTGGAGGCGAGGACGAGTGGAGGCGCTGCATCCGGGCAGCGACGGCGTCCCGCGTGTCGCCACGGTGCGGGTGGCGGACGGCACTATCACGCGTCCCCTAGTGAAGCTGTGCCCCCTACCGATGGGCCCTGCTCCACAGGCGACCGATTCAAATTGAAATAAAATACAACTCGTTGTATTTTGGTGGGCGGTATGTTTGGCGCTCACCAAACTGTAGTTAGATGCATGTATTGTTTAGTCTCATTACTCGTTGTACATAATTTTCTTGCGTACCTAGTCTTAAGTATTTCGGTGACTCGCGCGAAACGTCGGCGGATCGCGATCAACGCGGAATCGATAATCGCGCGACTCACCAATCGGTGCTGCCCTCGCTCACCCCACGAGGGCACCCGCCGGAAGAACAAGTACTCGCTCGCGACACTGTTCCAGCGCCGCGAGCCCTCAGACTCATCGTTACGCCGGCTCATCGTTACGACGTCTGATCGTTACGACGTCTCGGAGCACGGAGAGATTATCGGAGCAGAGAGACTTGTGCTAATATTCGGAGTCGCGAGATCATCCGCTCGCTCCCGGATAGTGCGATCGCCTACTTTCTCGGCTTGTCTGTGTGCTGCCTTTACTTGCTTCCTCCTGCTTGCTTGCTGCCTGCCTTAAATTACTGCTGCCTGCCTCGCTTTCGCCTTGCTTGCTGCCCTGCCTGCGTTGCTGCACGAGCCCGATCGCGACCGAGACGAGACCGCCAGGAGTCGACGGCACAACGAACGGTGAGTCGCATTTGTTTAACTTAATTTTCGCTTTGGGGAGACTTTACACATCTCCCCTGGTCCTTCGAGCTTCGCTTTATCGCAAATCCGGGTACGGCTCTACCGCCCCCCGAGCA